TTTTATGTAGACTGGGCCAGACTTTGTTTTTGATAGGTGTGGCTAGTGGGCTGTTAAATGTACGGCAATTGGCACAAATTAATATAAGTAAATTTAGGTTTTAGCTATAAAAAAAAAATTTCACTTTTGGAAAAAGCTAAAGCTTTTTCAAAAAAGACAGAAAAATCTCTCAACTTTCAAATCAAAGACATGCAAATGTAAAGGCTTTGGCCAATGGCTGCTAATCCTATGTACCTTCTAGGAAAATACTGGTTAGTGGTCACACTCATCCACCACATGCTTATCCACCGCTTACATTTACATGCGGTAGGAGAATCCCGGACCATCATCATTGCCTATTTCATCCATCCAACTTTTTTTTTCTTTCTATTAATTACCAAAAAAAAATAAAAAAATTCTATTATGGAATTACTTTATTTGTCGAACTGAGTTAAACTAGTTCATAAACTTTTTTTTTTTTTCTTTATAGTACAAGAGGCAAATCCAATTAAATTTATGTTGGGAGTTTCAAAGTTGAGTGCAAAATGATGAATTCACTGTCAATTGAGACAGTTTAAATCAATCCAATCTAATTTATGCTAGGAGCCTCAAACTTGAGTGCAAAATGACGAATTCACTGCCATTATCAATTGACGTAACCCACTTATATGTTTTTTCCCCGTTCATGCATTATGCTAGTTCATTATATGTTTGGTTTGGACAAGAATTTTGTATAATTAAGTTTTGGAACTTAAGTGTTAGTGGTACACCTAAACAGCCACTAAGATTATCCCATAAAACGTCTAGGCACATCTTTGTCCGATAATGAAATAGGATCCATAAAAATAGGATATATTATCTGATTTTTCTTTTAATTTTAATTTTTTAAATATGAAAAAGTGTGAGTTTACCATATTATCATCATTTAATTAATAATTTCAATTCTTAATATTTGCATTAACCAAAAACATTTTCTGGTATTTTGAATGTTTTACCATTCTTTGCCTTTTAATTTATATATACTAGATGTGCCAATTGGTTTTCTTTTTTCTTTTTTCTTTTATTTTTAGAATTGAGAAAAGATAACATGGGTAGTTATGTTCCATAAAAGTAGGACATATTATCTGATTTTGTTTTTAGTTTTAATTTTTTAATATGAAAAAAATGTGAATTTACTATATTATCCTCATTTAATTAATAATTTCAATTCTTAATGTTTGAATTAACCAATGACATTTTATGGTATTTTGAATGTTTCATCATTGTTTGCCTTTTGCTTTATATATATATAGATAGATATAGATAAAAAATGACACCAAAAAAAAATCCCTAATATGAAAGAAGTTCCCACCAGCATATGATACGTGGCATAAAAGAATACTAGCCTCTCCGCACGTGCTTCCGCGCCTGCGAGAGATTTTTAGTTTATAAAAAAATAAAATTTATTTTAGAATTAAAAAAGATAATGGGTAGTTGTGTTCTATAAAAATAGCATCCATTATCTTATTTTTCTTTTAATTTTAATTTTTTTAATATGAAAAAGTGTGAATTTACTGTACTATCCTCATTTAATTAATAATTTCAATTCTTAATGTTTGCATTAACTAAGGGCATTTTCTGGTATTTTGAATGTTTCACCATTCTTTGCCTTTTGCTTTATATATATAGATATATATGAACATAAAAAAGCTGATAAGGCAATTTGGTGACAAATAATGTGGTATGTACCACTATATATGTATACCACTTCTATGTTTTTTTGTCGAATTGAGTTAAACTAGTTCATTAACTTTGTTTTTTTTCTTTACAATACAAGACAGTCTAAATTAATCCAATCTAATTTATGTTGGGAGCCTCAAATTTGAGTGCAAAATGACGAATTCACTGTCAATTGATACAATCTAAATCAATCCAATCTAATTTATGCTAGAACCTCAAATTTGAGTGCAGAATAACGAACTTATTGTCATTATCAATGGCGTTAACTCACTTCTATGTTTTTTTTTCCCTTTTAATGCATTAAACTAGTTCATTATTATATGTTAAGTTTAGACAAGAATTTTGTATAATTTAGTTCTAGAACTTTAGTGTTAGTGGTACACCTAAACACCCACTAAGATTATCCCAGAAAACTTCTAGGCACATCATTGCACATCATTGTCGGATAATGAAAATAAAAAATGTTACAAAAAAAAATCCTTAATCTGAAAGAAGTTCCCACCAGCATATGATACGTGGTATAAAAGAATTTGAACATAGAAAAGCTGATAAAGCAATTTGGTGACAAATAATGCAGTATGTACCACTATATATGTATACCACACATGAATTTGGTTGCTTTTATTCTCAGCCTCTGGTTCCTCTGTTGTCTTTATTTCTCATTGATGCAGTTAACGTTTGTAAAATGTCAGGCCTAAGAGCTCCATCTAATTATACTGAAGAACCACAACGTCATCCAAGTCTCATTGTAAATTCCCAGGTTGGGTTTTCATCATATATTCTTAAATCATAATTATTCAATTTTATTTTCCCTTTTTAGGTAAATTCTGTTACTTTTCAGAGAGACGGACAAGCGGTTCACTTCCGTTTTTGTTCTTAAAATTGTAGCTGTTTTCGTTTTCATGCTTGGTAGCTTGAAATGAATGTGTATGGTTGCACTGTGTTCGTGTGAAACAGGAACCTTTCAACGCAGGACCACCACGTTCAGCCTTAATCGCATCCTATGTGACGCCAGTAGATTTGTTCTACAAGCGAAACCATGGGCCAATCCCTGTCATTGATGACATTGAAAGGTTAACAGCAGTTTGCCATTTTTTCTTCCTCTTTTTGTAGCTATACTATATATGCCAAATTGTTAGCATATGTTGAGGTAGGTGGTAAGGTTTTAGCCGACGGAGTAGATGAATTTAAAGTTAGAAAGAGTTGTGTCTGTTGGGAAAACTTGAGAACTATGTTGAAATTTAATCTCTTGCTATTATTGCATCCATAAATGAAAAATTCACAGGAAAGTTTACGAATTCTAAGCAATGTTTTATTCTTTTTCCAATTTCCTCATTTTGCAATTACTTTGTCCAAATCCAAGGTTATGACACTTTACTTCTTTGTGTGAGCAGATATCGAGTGTCTATATGTGGTTTGGTGGAAAAGCCCCTGGAACTATCAATGGCTGATATTAGGTAACTACTATAATGTCTTTTGTAGTTGGTTCATCTTAATCAATTAAGAGAGTAAAACTTTTTGGTAACTTGAAACAGGAAGCTACGAAGGCACATTGTGACAGCCACTTTACAAGTAAGTTGGTTAGACAAGGCATTTCCAGCTTTGCCCACCTCCTCAGATTAATGCATTATTGTGGGGAAGACGGTATATTTTAGTTACAGCTCCATCATAATTTGATTCGGTTCGTTTCATGCTAACCAGTGTGCAGGTAATAGAAGGACTGCAATGAGCAAAGTAAAAGCAGTGAAAGGAGTTGGCTGGGATGTTTCTGCTATTGGAAATGGTTAATTTGCTACTACGCTTATTAATTTCCGTCACAGATAAATTGCACGTAGAAAAGTAAAATTAAACTTTTATCATTTTTGTTTTACGTTTCCTTTCAGCCATTTGGGGTGGGGCTAAACTTGCTGATGTTCTCGAACTTGTGGGGATCTCTAAGTTAACATCAGTGTCCCCATTAGGAGGAAAGCATGTTGAGTTCGCAAGTGTTGACAAGTGCAAGGAGAGCTTCAGTTTTGTACCACACGTTCTTCTCTTTACTTGGGAATGCTTTATATTGTATGATGACTGTCTTTTAGGAGGAAAAAGGAGGACCGTACAAGGGATCAATTCCGTTAATTCAGGCAACAAACTCAGATGCTGAGGTTTTACTTGCATATGAGATGAATGGAGAGGTAAATAAACAGCTGGTGTAGTTTTCAGATCAGATTTCTTCTAATTGCTTCTTATAGTTGTGAGGTCTAAGTATGTGTCCACGTTCTCGCTGACCTATTTTACTGTGCTAAAGCCTCTAAACAGGGATCACGGGTATCCGCTGCGCGTAATTGTTCCTGGTGTTATAGGTGCACGTTCTGTTAAATGGCTGAGTTCTATCAATATAATTGAAAATGAGTGTCAGGTTGGTTTTTACTGATCTTACTAATCGTGTCGCATTATCTGTTCTTGTATTATATGACTCTTACAATGGACAGAATAATTGAGTTATTATAGTGGAACAGGGATTCTTTATGCAAAGGGACTACAAAATGTTTCCTCCTACTGTGAACTGGGAAAATATTGATTGGTCAACCCGGAGGCCTCAAATGGATTTTCCTGTTCAGGTATTTCTATCGATAATCAATAGCTTTAAGCTCCTTGCGCATAGTTCTTGTTTATTTAGATATATGTACCTTCACTGACATGATTTTCAATGAACTCATGAACATTGTCTTTGATGGATTTTGCAGTCTGTTATTTGTTCTTTGGAGGAAGAAAATACAGTGAAGCCTGGAAAGGTATGTCATCTGTTTAAGCACAGCTTTCATTAAGCACAATGGGAATAGGGCCAACTTTGTAAGGATATGTAAGATTCAGACTGATGTATCAATCAGAGTGTTGTCTAGAATAAGCAATTCGAGTTTGTATAGAAAATTTTCTATCTGCCACCATATGCTGCTGGCTACAACTATACATAAACATCAATTTGAATAACCTAATTAGCAGGCACATTCTTGGGAAGGGGCCATCAATTGGATTAGCCTTAGTGACTATACAAGCTTATATTCTTTTACATGGGCAACCTCAAAATATCCCACAATGTAATTACAATGAAAACGAGAAACCACCAAATTCCAATGTGAAAAGCCGTATGGTATTGCATTATTACGAACTCAGGAATTGTAGGACAAATGGGTAATCGGATCATCAACACAAGAAATTACCCCTTACAGTATGTCATTTGATACGACACTGAACAAGGGGGAAACTATACTCAATTGACACTAAAAAAGTGAGACAGTCAAAGAATAGACAAGCTGTAAGATGCAAAAAGCGCTATTGAACCTCTAAAACATTACCCTGCAAAATCTGGGTGTTGTGATACCTATGGTATTTCTTTACCCCTTAAGGGTTGTCACTATGATGGGAAAAAAAAAGATCATGAATATACAACAGACGTATGCTCCTGAAATCACTTTCTTCTCCGCCACCAGTCTGGGATTTTCAACCTCCGGTTTCTATGTACAGCAAGTTTGACTGCAGGAAGCTTGTGCTTCACCTGTCTCCATAGCATATTGACGGCATCCTCTTTCTCTGGGGGGTAATGAAATTCAAAATGGTGGGAAATAGCATTAAGTTGCCTCCACATTTCAATCCATCTGTCCTTTGGAAATTTCCGGAGCTGATCAACCATGTAACCAGGTTCCAAAGCCTCTTTGAATGAGAAGAATAGTGAGAATTTGGTGTAGTCAATTTCATCCTCAAACGGGAGCTCAATTTCATCACTCACAATGACAGGAACGCAGTGGCTCACAATAGCATCAAATAGGCGACAAGACGAAGGAGTGTCTCCAGCAGGATGCAGACAGAACTTTGATGAACGCATCCGTTGCGAAGACTGGTATAACAGAAGGAAAAAAAAAATAAAAAAAAAAAAGAGATACACAAAAAGTTGTACTTAATAATATCTGATTTATTACTCAAACTTGAGACAGCTGACTACAAAAACGTCCTATGCAAGGGGAAAATTATCCTTCTGAAGGAAAATCCAGATGACAGAAACTTGCCTGTCTTCTTCAATTGAGAGTAAACATACCAACTAAGAGCATATATTAGAAATCTATCTGCTTGGTGTCCCTCAAATGATTAGTCTCCCCGACATTTTTTCTTTAATAGAATGAAACTAAGATGCTGTGGGTTGCCGCATTGTATGTAATTTGAGTTCACTCACGAAAAAGATGCATGCATATATTTAGATAGAAATTACAAGTAGAGAAAATTAGAAGTGGCACTCATGGATGATTCTGAGACACCATAAAAGTTTTGAGAAGATGCTAAAGATCATTAAGAAATTAAAATGACACTGAGGATGACTATAATCATTTCCAGTGACTAATGTGTAAAATCCATACTTTCCAGGACCAAGATATGCACACAACAATAAAATTTATGGACCACTAAAGACTCCATACATACCGCTTTTATGTTATCTCCTGTTGCAACACTTCGCTCATAGTGAACATCATCATAACCAGCTAAAATTTTTGCCAGTTTAACACGGACAATGCCTTCCTGCATATAACAAGACCAAAGGTAATCAATTATAGCTCAGAGTAGAAGGTTTTAAGACAGGATGCATCTTTTATTTCAAACAACTCTTAAACTAACATACATCTTTCCTGAATGTCCTGCCCTGGAAGAAAAGAAGTGTAGTGCGGGACTCATATGGATTTGAATGATTATCATCTGTAAATGAATCCACAACATGTACATATGGGGAGACCACATCTTTGCTCAGATTTGACATGACATGAGGGTACCGGCCAAAATCTACAACAATCTGAATTGATGCATTGATCTGTGGTCTAAGAAATCTGAAAGCATTGGGATGTGTCAAAGGGATAACATGGTCTCTGCCTCCGGATCTTTGCCAATACTTGGATTCCCCCAAGATTTTCAATACATCTATCTGAAATCAGAAGAAACTCAAAGTTTAGTGATAACAAAAATATGAAAGTCCAAAAGAAAAAAGGACATTTGGAAACAATACTACGACCTGCACGACAGTGATTTTGAAAATTGGAAAACATTGGAGGTATGAATTATAACTTGGACAGCTGGTTGACAAAAACCAAGTAAAGATAAAAACAGTTGATGGTAAAACAAAGTATCAATCTACGGAAAGGCTCAAGAATGAACAAAGCAGCACTGCAATTAGTGAAACCATCATCCAATTCCTCTCTAAATACCACCTAACTTTGCAAAAACCGTTCTACATTTTCTTGAAAAGTGTGTCATGAATCAAACTGAATGACAGCGAAAGGTGTTTAAGTTTCAATTAACATACAAGTCCCAAGCCTCGAATTCAATATGCCAGCCACAGAAGAAAATCCCAGTTTTTCATATCTCATCTGTATTCAGAAAACCACATAATTCTCATATTTCAGCAGAAGACTCTGTTTAATTTCCTATAAAGATAATACACAGAATCGAAACTGTCATTTCCAAATATGTATACAGAAGGGAAAATGAGACAGGCAAACTCAATCGAAGGCATCCAATTCACTGCTTTCGACGACCCAATTCGACACAAAATTATCAAAGTTCTCCATAACAAGCGACCAATATTCACAGATAAAGAACGCCAGCAATCGAAACCTAATTAATTACCTGCAATTGGTGATCAATCTCAGTAGCCGGGTCGGTCATGTGGTGCCCGTGAGTATTGAAACTCAAGGAAGAGAAAAACGGCACGAAGAACGCATCGGCCAATTCCGGATCAGAAACCCTAACGGCCGCTCTCCCATCACCGCCATCGCCGTCGAACAGAAGCGAGCCCATCATCCAGTACTCAACACTGTGCTGCCTTTTGAGCCCAGAGTTCCTGGGCCACGTGGGCCAGGTCCGGGCCGTGACCGGAGCCTGCTCCGCGGTCTTTCGGGTC